GCACCATTCAGTACGAATATGGCTGACCACATCTCAACCTCAACTCCACTTTCCTGCCCCCTCCTCATAACCCTTCAATCCATTACTACTTACAAATCTATCTCCTCCTTAAATTTAGTCTGCTCTCTGAGGCAGTGAATTCCACAGAATCACAACCCTTTGAGAAAATTAATTCCACCTCCGGTCCTGACGCGAAACGTCAGCTTTCCTGCTGCTCTGATGCTGCCTGGCCTGCTGTGTTCCTCCAGCTCCACACAGTGTTATCTCCGACTCCACCTCACCGCTGTTCTAACTCTAAAGCTATGACCTCTTGTTCGAGATTGCTCCCAATCTGAAGATCCGTATTCAAAATGTTAACTCTGTTTCTCTTCCCACAGATGTTACCAGACCTGCTGAGTTTCTCCACCATTTTTCCTGGTTGTTTCAGATTTTCAGCATCCGCAGTATTTCGCTTTTCTGCAAAAATAGATATTGGAGGTTATGTCATTGAGTGACGAGGTGAAAGGTTGGAAGTCTGAGGTTATTCACTTTGGTACTAACATTGAGAAATAGGAACATTGCTTTGAAGGTGTGAAACTGTTTCCTCAATGTTAATATCCAGTGTTTCACGACTGCTTCATTTATAGGGACACAGGAAGATAGCATGTAATAGCAGCAAGGATACACAAATGCAAACAGGAATTTATTGTTTGGATAAGGACAGGGAGATGTAGGGCTTTACTGGGATCACATCCGGAATTCTGCGTTGTTTGCTCCAAATCTAAGGAATGAAGGGTCACTAGAGTGGCTGCTGGGATGAGAGGTCTGTGTTGGGATGAGACGCTGAGTAAACAGGGTCTATATTCTCTGGAGTTTGGAAGAATGAGAGATGATCTCCTTGAAAATCCAAGATTCTGAAGGGAACATACAGGGCAGAGAGAGTTTGGTTGGCCCTGACTGAGGAATCAAGAGCATGGGGCTGCAAGTCTCAGGATTAAGACACTGAGTATTTCGAACTGAGATGAGTAGAAATTTTCTTCTCCATCTCAGAGGGGTGTAGCTGCTCAATCTTTGCATATATTTGGGCTCAGGGGGACAAAGCAAAAACTGCAGATGCTGCAAAACTGAAACTAAAACAGGAATTGCTGGAAGAAATTCGGCAGATTTGGCAGCATCTTCGCGGAGAAGGCAGAGTTAATATTTCAACTCCATTGACTCTTCTTCAGAACTAATAGCTGCTGGGGAAATGTGGGGTTGGGGATGAGTCGGGGAGAAGATTGAACCCAGAGAGAGAGAAAGGCAGGGAGACAAAGGGGTGGGTGATAGTAACTCAGGACCAAAGAAAAGCTGATAATAGGAACGTGAGTGGGTGAGGGGAGATAGTAGGAACTGCTGATGCTGGAGTCAGAGTTGATACAGTGTGGAATTGGAGGAACACGGCAGGTCAGGCAGCATCAGAGGAGCAGGAGAGTTGATGTTTTGGGCCTTGACCCTTCATCAGGACTGGGGAAAGGCAAAGGAGCTGAGAAATAAATAGAGGGAACGGGGTGGGGCTGGGGAAGGTAGGTGGGATGGTGGTAGGTGAGTGCAGGTAGGGAGTGGCAGGGCTTGGCCGGTGGGGCGGATAGGTGGGAGACAAGATGGACAGGTTGTGTCAGGTCAAGGAGGCGGGGATGAGAGGGAGAGTTGGACATGGGATGAGGCCGGGTGTGGGGAGGTTTTAAAACTAGTGAATTCAGTGTTTAGGCTGTAGCCTCCCGAGGCGGAATATGAGGTGTTGCTCTTCCAGTTTGCATGTGGCGTCACTGTGACACTGGAGGAGGCCCAGGATGGATATGGGAGACAAACAGGAGGCTGGAAGAACACAGCAGGCAAACGTTGACTGCTCCTTTCCTCCAGATGCTGCCTGACCTGCTGTGTTCTTCCAGCCTCCTGTTTGTCTCCCTTGGATCCCAGTGTCTGCAGTTTTTTTGTCTCTAACCAGGATAGACATGAGTGGGTGGGAAATGGGCTGGCTGTGCCGAAAGCAGCTCATGTGATGACAGGGCCTGGGGGTGAGTAAAGGATTTGGCTCTGCTTTCTCTCCCCGCAGATGCTGCCAGACCTGCAGAGGTTTTCCAGCAATTTCTGTTTTTGTTTCAGGTAAACAATGGTTTATTCCTGCCCCTAGTTTTACGCTGTGACGCTCCAAAAGCGAGGTGTCATCGCTGTGTAATTTAGGAAATCTAACCACCAACGTACACATAGCAAGATCCCTCAAACTAAAACACACAATCTGTTCTCATTATAGAATCCCTACAGGATGGGGGCAGACCATCCAGTTCACACTGATCTTTCAAAGAGCATCCCACCCAGACCCAACTCGTTACCCCATCACTGTAACTCCCAAGGCCAATCCACCTAACCTGCACATCCTTGGGCACTATGGGGCAATTTAGCATGGCCAATCCACCTAACCTGCACATCCTTGGGCACGATGGGGCAATTTCCCATGGCCAATCACCTAACCTGCACATCTTTGGACCATGGGAAGAAACCTACACAGACACAGGGAGAATGTGCAAACTCCACACAGACAGACCGAACTCAGGACCCTGGCGCTGTGAGGCAGCAGTGCTAACCACTGAGCCACCATGCCATTAACTGAAGGACAAATGTTAACCCCCAAGAAACCAGGGAGATATTCAGTTCTACAGCTGGGTGATGTGTACCTGTGTTCTGTGGATTGATTAGACAATAATACTGCATCATAATCCCCTCCTTTCACTGGAGACGGCAGACAGGATCTTGGTTGCTTACTGCCTCTGAAAATCAGTACCGCCCTGGAATATCAGCCTGGGTTTTATCATTTGAACCTCTCAACTGTGGATTAAAGCCACAACCATCCGCCCCAGTACGTTGCTGAGTGAATCAAACAGACACAATGAAAATAAAATTGTAGGAGGACCTGTCGAGTACTATATGGTGTCCCACAGCTACTACCCCATGGGTAGGCAATACTCCTTTAAAGAGGCCATTCAGCCCATCGAGTGTGTACTGACCCTCTGAAGGGGATCCCACCAGACCCAGACCCGTACACTATCCCTGTAACCCTGCATTTGCCATGGCTAACCCACCCTAGCCTGCACAACCCTGGACAAGACCGACAATTCAGCATGGTCAGTCCACCTAACCTACACACCTTTGGGCTGTGGGAGGAAACCCACACAGACATGGGGAGAATGTGCAAACTCCACACAGACAGTTACTCGAGGGTCCCTGGCACTGTGAGGCAGCGATGATTCCAGGCGTCTTTAGGCTATCTCCTGGTGAAAACCAAAAGGAGCTAATTAATCCCTGACCTCTGCAGAAAGCCTTCAAGAATGTGTCCAATTGAATAAAAACAGATACAAAACGCTAGAACCTCTCTGCAGATCTGTGCAGTTCTGATGAGTTGACATCCATCTGAAACTGTGTTTCTTTCCCTCCAGGCCTGCTCAGCATTTCCGGCACTTTCTCTGACTTTATTTCTGATTGCCTGCATATACAATAATGTTTATTTGTGTTGAGTTGAGTGGCCTGGTGAAAGATGACCTAACTCTGGAATGAGGTGAAAATTGTTTCATGCCACAAACAGCCCGATACAGCCTCGCTCCCTGCTTCCTGTAGGGAGCTCTGTCTTGTTCCAATTACATTGCAAGAGGTGTCCTGTTAACCTTGAAGTGGACGAAGTCAATACACATCCCGAAGCTCTAGTCAAAAGAACTCTGAGCTCTCTAAGAACATGGCCTAGAGTTTGTCCTATAACAAATATCACTGGCAATAACATTAGTCTTAATAACATTAGTCAAAAAGGATAGCTCCTCCAAACATTAAGCACAGGTTTGAAGGGTTGAATGACTTCCTCGTGTGCTGTATTTTTATGTGACTCTAACATTTTGCCTGTGTTTGGTAACACGGATACATTTGTAAATAGAGCAATATAAAACATAGGAGCACAAGCAGGAAATTCAGCCCCTCGAGCCTGCTCTATCATTTAATGAGATCATCACGTTTCAAATTCCACACTCAATGACCCGTGATGACCTTTAATTCCCTTGTCCGACAGCAATCCAGTACCTTCACCTTTAAAATATTCAGTGACCCTCCTAACATGCTAACTCTGTTTCTCTCTCCACAGATGCTGCCAGACCTGCTGGGCTTTTCTGTTAGTCTCAGTGTTTGTTTCAGAAAACTGTCTGTTCCCCTGATCTTATATATCTGAGCTTCATTTATTTGCTGCCTTACATTCAGTTACCTGGGCCCTAAGCTCTGGGATTCTCCCTCCGCTTCTCTTTGATCCTGTTTATAGTGATCTGCCTTATCTCGCTTCATGTCACGTGAAGCACCTTGGAATGCTTTATTTCCATTAGAAGTGCTTTATAGATGTAAGTTCTAGGTGTTGAAAAACTACAGAACATAAAGGATTGAAACTACTTCTTAGCTAAAGAAAGATAAACACGCAGCAAATGTTCATGTGACTGACACCTGGTATATGTTTGCATTGACTGGGCCTGTATTTTGATGGATTGAGAGGTGATCTCATTGCAACATAACAATCTGTCAGGCCTGGACGAACCAGCTGCAGGGGCAATGGTTCCCAGCTGGGAGTCCAGGGTAAGAGGGTACAGTTGCAGGTTTGAGGTGGAGGGGGGTAAGGGGAGGGGCAGGTGTAAAGGCACTTAGGGTTGAGATGAGGAGAAATGTCTTCCCTGAGAGGGTGATGAATCTGTGGAATTCTCTACCACAGAAAGCTGGAGGCCAAGTCAGTGAATACGTTTAAAAAAGAAATAGATTTCTAGAGGTTAGAAGTGTGGAGGGGCATGGGGCAAGAGCGTGACTGTGGTATTGAGCTAGAGGATCAGCAATGAATGGTAGAATTGATTGGTGGAGCAGCTTGAAAGGGGCTGGATGGCCTATTTCTGCTACTTTCTTCTATGTTTCTATATCGTAGTAGCACTGGAATTATGAGGATTAATATATTTACCTTTTCTGTTTTGCAGGAAACCCATCACAGAGCAGAAACAGAGAGAACATTAGAATAGAAGGTATCGATTTTGCTTTCTTTTCTGTAATTTATTTTGGTTTGTTGTGACCTTGAATACATTTTGTATTTCACTGTCATCCTCATCGAATAACTTGTGTGAATCCTTTTCGTCAGGAACTGGCAATTTGAGATAATGTACTACCAACCCTGCTTAGCCTTGAGAGTGTGCATACACTCTGACACAGACACACACACACACACACACACTCACACACGCACACACGCACACAAACTCACACACTCACACAAACTTACGCACTCACACACTCACACTCTGACACACACGCACACACTAACACAAACTCACACACTCACACAAACTCACGCACTCACACTCACACGCTCACACTCGCACATGCTCACACATGCGCACACACACTCACAAATACTCACGCTCACACACACACACACACACCCACACTCACCCACACACGCTCACACACACACACACTCACGTACACACATACACACACACACAAAAACCTACAACCACACACACACAAACACACAGCCACTGACACACACACACACACACACACATTCACACACACCAACACACACAC